CTTTTCCCCATTCAGTATAATGTTAGCTATAGGTTTTTCATAGATGGCTTTTACTGTGCTGAGAAATGATCCTCTATGCCAATTTCCTGAGAGTCGTAATCATTAAGGAATGTTGTATTTTGTCAAATGCTTTTTCTGCATCAATTGAGATGATAATGTGTTTTTTTATCTTTCTTTCTGTTAATATGGTGTATTACATTTGTATATGTTGAACCACCTTTGCGTCCCTGGAATAAAGTCTACCTGGTCATGATGAATAACCTTTTTTATATGCTGTTGAATACGGTTAGAGTGTATCTGGTTGAGAATTTTTGCATGTATATTCATCAGAGATATAGGTCTGCAGTTTTCCTTTTTTCTTTTTTCAAAGAACCAGATTTTTGCTTTCATTCATTTTCTGTATAGTTTGCTCTTTTGCTGTTTCATTTATTTCTGCTTGAATCTTTATTATTTCTTTTCTCCTGGAGTTTTTTGGATTTTTCTGTTGATCTTCCAATTCCCTGAGACATGATGTTATATTGTCCTTTTGCCACCTTTCCATCTTTTTTCTTGTGTGCACCAATTGCTATCAACTTCCCTCTTATGACTGCTTTTGCTGCGTCCCATAGATTATGGAAACTTGTACACTCGTGATCATTAGTTTCCTTGAATCTTTTGATTTCAGTCTTGATCTCTTCAGTAATCATGAAGTCATTCAGAAGTAGGTTATTTAGTTTCCATGTATTTGTGTATTTTCGAGAGTTTTTCCTGAGATTAATATGAAATGAATTCCATCATGGTCGGAGAAGATGCTGGATATAATTTCTATGCCTTTGAATCTGTAAAGGCTGGTTTTATGCCCTATCATGTGGTCAGTCTTCGAGAAAGTATCATGTAGGGCTCAGAAAACTGAATATTTTGTGGTTTTTTGGTGGAAAGTTCTATAAATGTTTATCGAGTCCATCTGATTTATGCAATCATTTAGATCCAGAATCTCTTTGCTTCTTTTTCGTCTCGTTGACCTGTCTAAAGTAATGGGGTGTTGAGATTTCCAACAATTATTGTGTTACAGTCTTTCTCTCCTTTTAGATCTAGCAAGAAAGCCTATTTTGTCTTAAAGCCTATTTTGTCCTAAATCTGTTTAACGACTCCCACTCTTTTTTGGTTTCCATTTGCATTGAATACCTTTTTCCAGCCCTTCACTTTTAATCTTTGTATGTCTTTATCCATGAGATGGGTTTCTTGTAGGCAGCAAATGGAGGGGTTCTGATTTTTAATCCATTCAGCCAGTCTGTGTCTCTTGATCAGAGGATTTAATCCATTAATATTCAACATTATTATCAATATTTCCAGACTTGCCCCTGCCATTAAGCTGGCCATATGCTCAGTTGTTTTTGTTCTCTAATTGCTTTCTGTCTGTCTTTAGTTTTCTTGGTATAGTACTCCTTTTAGAATTTTTTAAAGAGCTGGCCTGGAGCTGGTAAATTCTTTCAGGCTTTGTTTATCTGAGAATGTTTTTATCTTCTTTTCCCATATGAAGGATAATTTTGCTGGGTATAGTATTCTTGGTTGCAATTGTTTTTCATTTAACACTTTGAATATATTTCCCCATTCCTTCCTTGCTTGCATTGTTTCCGATGAGAGGTCTGATGTTAGCCTGATGGGATAGCCTTTGTAAGTGATTTGTTGTTTCTCTCTTGCCAATCTTAGTATTTTGTCTTTGTGGTTTTGGACAATCTAGCTATGATGTGGCATGGAGAGGATTTTCTTGGATTGATTCTCTTTGGGGTTCTTTGTATTTCTTGGGTCTGGATATTTGAATGCCTCTCTAGACTTAGGAAGTTTTTTCCCACAATTTTGTAGAATAGATTATCAATATCCTTATTAGTTTTTTTCACCTTCTGGCATACAAGTTATTCAGATGTTTGGGTTTTTCTTGGTATCTAGTATTTCCTGTATAATATCTTCAGGGTTTTTTACTGTTTTTCTCAGTATTTTTTATAATTTTTTTCTAGGTCATTGGTTTTGTCTTCGACTTCCAAGATTTGATCTTCTGTGTGGTCTAACCTGCTTTTAATATTTTTGAGGGAGGCTTTGATTTTCTGTTTTACAGCCTTCATATCTAACATTTCCGTTTGATTCATTTTATGGTGTCCAATTCTTCTTTCATATTGTGGAAGGATTTCCTCATCTCTTGGAACTCAATGTCTCTTTTCTCTTGCATATCATAGAATTTTGTTACCATGAATGCTCTAAATGCTTTTTCTGACATTTTGGTAAAATCCTCTTATGTTTCCCTACTTGAAGATGAATTAGAGTGGTCCCTTGCAGATGATGTATTACTTGATTTTCTCATCTATGAGGCTCTTTTCTGATTTTTAGTCATTAGCAGTGTATTCACTTTTGGCTGGCTAACACTGGGCTTTGTTTGCGGGTGAAGGGCAGAGGCAGGTAGCCTAGCTGGGAGAGCTTCCCAGCTGTGAAACTACATCCAGAAGGTACAGGACAGCAGAGGACCTACCTGGATGGATTCTCACCTGGCTAGCACTGGGCTCTGTGTGTGTGTGTTGGGGGGTGGTCTAGTTGGGAGAACTTCACAGCTGTGACATTGGACCCAGAAGGTACAGTACAGCAGAGATGGACCTCAGTGACTTCAATTTTTGACTTACTAACAGTTGGCTTAGGAACAACATAATGTTCACACAAAAGTCTGAAAAAAGTACTAGAAAATATTTTAGTTTCATTCTTTTCCCAGTAATACTTCAGGTAAAAAGGATTATATATGGGGGCTAGCAGGTGATATAGTGGTAAAGGTGTTGTACTCTCTTATGGTCGACTGCCTTGAGTCTCAAACCTGGTGACTTGAAAATCATGCCAGGCATGTGTGCATACATACCTAAAATCCTGAGAGGAGAGGGGAGGAAGTATCATGGCATGGCCATCCCCCCTGATGGGTGATTTCTCACTTTCTCTTCCTCTGAATCTGTCTGTCTATCCTTTCTGACAGACATACACACCCTATGACAAAAACTTAAAAACAAACAAAAAAAAACACCTAAGTATTTTTGCCAGTGTAATAAAGATTCCATTTAAACCAATGGTTCTCCAAAGGGAACAGTGTATTGGTACTAACAAAGTTCCTTTCTGCTTAGTTTTTTTTTCCTTTGGAGAGGTTTTTGCTATAGGGCACGTGCACTCACCAGAAAGACAGAGAGAGACAGAGAGATAGAAAATGAGAAATCACCCCCCAGGGGGGATGGCCACACCGCAGTCCCTTCTCCATTCTCCTCTCCGGGTCTTGGGCACGCATGCACATGCGCTTGGCATGAGTTTAAGCCACCGGGTACAGGACTTGAACCGTGTTCGACTATGTGGGAGTCCAGCGACATAGCCATTATGCTAACTGCTGGTCCCCCTTCCTGCTTAGTTTGTAAGGTTATATCTGCATTTTCTATGCTGTCAAACCCCTGCTGAGAATCATACTGAACATATTTTTTTCCCCAGCTCTTAATCAGGTGTGGAAATGCCACAGTTGTCTGAAATTATCTCCTGGCCTCTGCCTACCTATGGAAGTAGGAGGCTTACCCTGGGGGTAGAGAAAAGTATAATTAGCAGAGTCTTCTGGACACCGACTGAAGGACTACGGGAATTTAAGCATTTGCCAGAGCACAATACTCTTTTCTGTTGCTAAGCACCCATCAGTTCTTGGGTTCATTAACTCTGATGTTATTCCTCTCAGAGGCTGTTGCTTCCTCCAGTCCATGATCACTTTAGACATGGTCTTTCCTCTTTTCTGTGCCTGTGGCCTCAGTGGAGTCTTCTTCCCCACTTCCACTTATGACAACAATACTCTAGATCCCTAGGAAGGTCTTAAGTCCTCTATATCCAGCATGTCCCAAACACAGGCAGAATGTAGAGAATACTAGGACCTTGCATCTTAAGTAGTCCTTAGACCTCAGAGCTTCCTTCCTCAGAAGCTAATGAGAAAGGAGATCTAGGTGAGCAAACTGGCAAGAACAAATCTACTTGCCATGATAGTTCAAAAATCTCTTTGAATTCCTATATGTTCCATATTTGTGTGGATATATTGTGATATGGTCATCAAAATTGGAAGAAAGGATGAGGTACCAGATTCACAGCATATTTTTAGATTTAGGCCTGAGCTTCATGGTGGTTACCATGACTGCATAAGACATAGCTGCTCCTAAAATACCTTTGCCATACTTAATTTGTTCTGACTTAGATCATGTGGTGCCATTAATATGGGATGGAAGTGCCCTTCTATCATTAGCACCATCTCTTACAGGTTTGAAAATGATTCACTATACAGTATTAAAAAGTAAAACACTTTTATAACTTTTAACAAGAGGACATATGGTATAAGGGCAGCTGTTCAGGATGAAGATGAGGAGTAAGTAGAAATGAGGACATGGAAAGGGAAAGGAAAAAGGTGTGGGTGATTTTTTTTTTTTTTTAGATTTATCACTTCAGATATTATTTTTGGATTTTGGGTGGTAATTTTTGGAAATTTAAAGTCTCAGCCCAGAATTAGGAGCTGTACATTTTATTAAGTTAGTTTTGGGACCAGCAGATTGTGTCATGACTGTGTTGCTGGACTATGTAGTCAACCATGGTTCGAGTCCCAGACCTGTGGCTTAAACTCAGGCCAGGTGTGTGTGCGTGCCTGCCCAAAATCCTGAGAGGAGAATGGAGGAGAAGGGACTGTGGTATGGCCATCCCCCCAGGGGGAAGTGATTTCTCGCTTCTGTCTTTCTCTTTCTGGCAAGCACACGTGCCCTATAGCAAAAACCTCTCAAAAAAAAAGGTTTGATGTATTTGGAGGTTACTTTAGTAAAGTGGTAAACTTATACAGTAGAATAAGGCAAATTTTTTATGGATTTTGTTTAGAGCCCAAATGCTGTATCATCTTTCAAAAAAATATAGATGTACCCTTAATGATATACAAATAATATTTTTTATTTTTCTCTTAAAATTTAAAAAAAATCCAATTTTTTTTCTAGATGTGAAGAAAATCGGTGGATTTTATCCTGTAGACATTTTGACAGAAATAACCACAAACCACATGCAAGAAGAGTAAAAGGTATTTTATTAGATACTTTTTGCATATTGATGTAGTTATCTTAATCTCTACATTTGTCTCATGCTATCTATTTTTGAGAATCTTCTGCGATGGATATAGTTTCCCAGAGTATACTTTATAAGTAAAGTTTCTTAATCATAAAATCTATTTCTGCTGTATGAAGTGATATAGTGCTTCTTTCAGAAAGTGCTTAGACTAAACTTCAATGTTAGTTGTTTGATATGACATTATTTATTTTCACCGTGCTGTTATATAAATTTTTTATATGCAGAGTGCTTTATAGTAATTTATTTAAAACATGCTCATGAGATATAAAATTAATCGGGAAAAATAGGACAGCTACATTCATTTTCTACTTTACTCTCCTTAGAGTTCTTGAGAACAGATGTGTTTAAGAGCAAATCCAAAGTGAGAATCTTATTGTGAGAATCTTACTCTTCTCACTAGGGTGATTTTAAATTGCATTATGAGGACTTAAGTGAGCCCCTATTTAGTATACCAGATCCAACTCTGTAAACTAACTATGCCTAACAGGACACTCAAAAAGAATGGAATACACATTCTTTACAAGTGCACGTGGACCATCTCTAGGACAGATGACAAGGCAATAACATAAGCTCCTATGCATATTTAAAAAAAGGAATGAAATGATACAAAATGTGTTCTCTGACCACCATGGAATACAATTAGAAACAAGTTAACAGAGGGCAGTTTGAGAGGTGTGCAAATAGGTGGTAGTTGAATGACATACTCCTAAATAATAGTGGGTCAAAAAAGAAATCACAAGGAAAATTAGAAAATGCTTTGAGATAAATTAACCTAAAACATTACATACTAAAATTCATGGAATGCAACTGGAAAAAATAATGTTCAGAGATAGATGTATAACTCTAAATTCCTGTATATTTTTCAAAAGTTAGATTTCAAATTGTTAACCTTCCACCTTAAGAACTTAAGAAAATAATAGTAAATTAAACTTAAAATGTGAGTGAGGCAGTGGTATGGTAGTTAAGGCAGCTAGTTCCCACATGACTGACTACTGTTCGAGTCCCAGACTGAGTGGCTCGAAAAATGTGCTGGGCATGTGAGGGTGCAATTCCAAAATCTTGAGAGGAAAAAGAAGAAATTATGGGTTGGCCATTCCCTGTGGGAAGTGCTTTCTTAATTCCTCTCTCTCTCTCTCTCTCTCTCTCTCTCTCTCTCTCTGGAGAGCACACGTGCTCTGTAGCAAATTTGAAAAAAGAAAAAGATTAAAATGCAAGTAAATAAAATAGAAAATTTAAAAACAACAAAGAAAAATCAATGAGAGCAAAAGTTGCTTCTTTGAAAAGATGAACAGACCCAATGAACGTTTAGCTTGACTGCTCAGGGAAAAAAAGAACACTCCTAATGAAAAGGGGACATCACTAGTGACCTTATAGAAATTGTAAAAAGGTTAAAAGAAGCAGTAGGAACAATTATATATGAAAATATTAGGTGACTTAGATGAAATAGATAAATTTCTAAAAGACAAAAACTAAAACTGACTGAAGAGGAAATAGAAATCTGAACGTAGAGCAAGTGACTGAAATATAATTACAAAAAAGTTCTCCCTGCACCAAAATAATCCAAGTCCAGATGGCTTCATCGGCATTTTCTACCACAACTTTAAAGAAGAATTAACAACAGTCTTTCACAAACTCTTCCAAAAAATAGAAGAGGAAAAAATGCTTCTGCACTCATTACCCTGATCATAAAATCAGAGACAACACAAGGAAACTAGAAACTATATGACCCTTATGAATATAGGTGCATAAATCTTCAATATGATATTAGGAAATCAAATCTAATATCATAAAAATACTATAAATAAAGACCAAATGGGATATATCTCAGGAGCGCTGGGTTAAGTTCAACATATGAAAGTGAAATCAGTGTAATAAACACATTAATAAAGAGCAAAAGCCACATGACCATCTTTTATAGATGCAGAGAAAGCATTTAATGAAATCTAAGTTGTTTTTGTCATAAAAACGCTGAACAAATTGGAAACAAAAGGGAACTTGCTTACCTCGATAAAGGGATTCTGATATTTAATGATGAAAGACTGAAATCTTTCCTGAAGACAGAAATATCAGGAACAAGACAAGAATGTGTTCTCTTGCCATTTCTATTCAACCTTGTATTGGAAGTTCTAGCCAAGATGGTTAGGCAACATGGGAACCAGCAGTTAGCATAATGGCTGTGTCACTGGATTCCCACATAGTCGACCGCGGTTCGCTTCCCGGACCCGGTTGCTTAAAACTCACCCCGGGTGCATGTGCGTGCGTGCCCAAGATCCTGAGAGGACAATGGAGGAGAAGGGATTGCGGCATGACCATCCCCCCTGGAGTGGGGTGATTTCTCGCTTTCTGTCTCTATGTCTCTCTCTCTCTGTCTGGCGAGCGCATGTACCCTATAGTGAAAATCTCTCCAGAAAAAAAATATATGTATGGTTAGGCAACAATAAGAAATAAAAGGCAGCCAGATGGCAAAGAAAGAAGTTAGATTTCCAGGGCCAGCAGGTTGTGCGGTGGTTGACATGCTAGCTTGCTTTCTGGCATCTTGCTTTCTTACTTATCTTCTCTCTCTCTGTCTGTCTCTGTTGAGTGCATGTGCCCTATAGCAAATTAAATAATAATATTAAATAAAATTAAATAATTTGTTAAAATAAGTAAGATTTTCCTTATTTGTAGATGGCATGATCTTGTATATAAAAAAAATATTAAGGAATATAGTGATAACTTGTTAGAACTTGTAAATGAATTCAGCAAGGCTGAAAGATAGGAGACCGGTGTAAATATCAGTTGTATTTATATGCACTAACAATGATCCAGAAATGAAATTAAGAAAATAATTACATTTACAAAAGTGTCAAATAAATACTCAGAATACTCAGCAGTAAATTTAACAGAAGAAATGGAATGTGTGTATGCCAAAACCCAAGAAGAAAAATTCTTGTGAGAAATTAAAGTCTTAAATAAATAGGAAGATATCTCATGTCCCTGATTTGGAAGACTTAACACTGTTAAGATGTCACTATTCCCATAACTCACCTACAGAGTCAATGTAGTGTCTGAAAATCCTAGCTGCCTTAATTTTACATAGAATTTAACAAGCTGATTCAAAAATTTATATATAAATTCATATATATACACAAAGTTGAAAGAATCACATTTCTTGATTTCAGCACTAACTACAAAGCTGTAAGACAGGGAGGTATCAGTATAAGGATAGACAGAGATCAATGCAATAGAATCAAGAACCCCAAAATAAACCCTTCTATTAATGATACACTAGTTTTCAACAAGGGTACCAAGACAATTCACTGAGGAAAGAGTAAGCTTTTCAACTAATGGTCTTGAGGCAACTGGATATCCATAAGAGTGAAAGAGGACCCTCACCTCACACAGCATATAAAAAATCTTTATGACCTTGGATTAGGCAGTGTTTTTATGGGGGGTGGAGGGGTGGGGGGTGTTGGATTGATACCAAAGCATAAGCAACAAAAGAAAAATACATAAGTTGGATATTACCACTATTAATAAATTTTATGCTCCAAAGGATGCCACCAGCGTGAAAAGACAGCTTGCAGAACGGAAGAAAATTTTTGCAAATCATATATTTGATAAGGGACTTATACCCAGAATATATAAACAACTCTTACAACAGTAAAAAGAAAAGTAACCTGAGAAGTGAGTAAAGGAATTGAGTAGAATTTTTTAAAGAATTATTTTATTTAACTTTATTTATTTATTTTAGTTTGACCAGAGAGTGGGGTGAAAGAGAGAGAGAAAGAAAATGAGAAAGCAAGCCACCAAGTCCAGGACTCGAACTGCAGTCAGCCATGTGGGAGTCCAGTGCCCTTAACCACCATGCCATCTGCTGGCCCCCAGGTAGGCATTTTTACAAAGACAGTAGACAAATTGCCTATTGGCACACAAAATGTTACTCAATATCATTAGTCACTAGGAAATAACTACAGTTTGGGACCACTTCATACTGTATTAAAAAAAAATGCATGAAAACTAGTGTTAACAAGAATATGTAGAAATGGAAACCTCTCTTGTTTACTGCTGGGAATCTTAATAGAAAACTTTTTTTTTTTTGGAGAGGTTTTTGCTATAGGGCGCGTGTGTTCGCCAGACAGACAGAGAGATCGCGAGAAATCACCCCCTGGGGGCCATGCTGCAATCCCTTCTCTTCTCAGGATCTTGGGTACGCAGGCACACGTGCCCGGCATGAGTTTTAAGCCACCTGGTCCAGGATGCGAACCACCTTTGACAGTCTCACTTTTAAGCCACCGGGTCCAGGATGCGAACCAGCATTGACAGTCTGAGTTTTAAGCCACCGGGTCCAGGATGCGAACCACCTTTGACAGTTAGTCTGGCAGTTTCTGAGAGGTTAAATGTTGAGTTACTCTATGGCCCAGCCTATCCCTGTACAAAATTTCTTTCTTTCCAAGGTATGATACTTTGAAAGAGTGAGTTTTATTAGATTTGAATTATATCACAAATATAAATATTAACTGAGCTTCTAGGTGGTCTGTTTCTATGCCGTATGCTTGGAATACCTCAAGAACACCAAAGGATGTGATCCCTGCATTTTTAGAGCTTGTCTGTTAGAGACATTAGATACTATCTAAGTAAAATTGCAGTTGTGGTAAGTACTATGAAGGAAAGATTCAGGATTCAGGATTCACTGAGACTCTTCGGGATATCTAAAACAGACTAGGTCAGGCACAGTTCTTCTAAGGAGGTGATTTTGCATTGAGGTCTGAAGGATGAAACCAAGTTATCAAGACAAAAAGGGGGGAAGAAAAGCATTACAGAAAGGGAGGACCAACTTGTATAAAGAGGCTGCCAAGAGAACCACAGTATGTTCAGGAGACTGAAGGGAGACTAGCGTGCTTGGGACACAAAGTAAGGGATAAAGGGTACAGGATGAGACCAAGAGGCAGCGCTGGACCAGTCTCTGCACAA